TATTTTTATTTTAAGAGAGAGAGAGAGAGAGAGAGAGAGAGGGAGAATCTTTTTTAATATTTTTTTTTAGTTTTCGGCAGACACAACATCTTTGTTTGTATGTGGTTCTGATGATTGAACCTGGGCCGCATGCATGCCAGGAGAGCGTGCTACCGCTTGAGCCACATCCCCAGCCCTTGTTTTCTTAATTTATTTTATTTTTATGCTTCAATAGGAAAAAAATTCCTAGAAATTCTTACTTAAATAATGTTATTCTGACACTCTCATCAGTTGAAGAAAAACAAAAAACACCTTTTTATTGATGAAATTGATTTAAGATATAAAAAAATTATTTAACGAGAACATTCTTTTCAATTTTAAGGATTGAGTTTTCTAACTGCTCTGCAATATTTTCCTTATATTACACTAAAAAATACTTATTTTAATTTTAATTGTATTCTTGATAGAATATGTTGTTAGAAATGGAAACCTCAAACACAGTATATTTTCCTAAGTAGGATAATTTGTTCATTTAATTCAAGTCTTTTTTAAAAAATTTTTACTTTACAATATTAAACCTCTTGGTCATGGATCACTGTAGTTATTAGAACAGAGTTTAAACAGGAGGAATTAAGCATACAGACTCTGCCCTTACCTGGAATATGGAGCCCCTCACTCTCAGTCATGCTGAGCTCGGGTTTCACTATCATCATTTCTTCAGAGTTTTCATCATTTTCACCCTTTGTGTCCACATAGTATACAGGTTTTGTGGTCTCTAAATCTACATGTATAAAACTGAACAACAAAACTGAAACCCATACATTATATTCGGTTAAAAAATGAACTTCCACTTTCACTTAGGATGTTGCAGGCCTCAGCAGACCATGAAAAACACTGCACTAAGCACAGAAAAAAATAACAATAAAATAACCACTTTACACTCAAGCTTGTCACACTCAGAAGCCTGGGAAGAAATTAAAAGGAGACCTAAAATTCCTGAGACAGATTGGACCTATTAGTGGGGGCATAAACTTACCTGTTTTTTGTGTTCCCACTTTAACATCTTAAACCTGAGTGTCCCCAGCACTCTGGCATACTCCTGGGAGAGGGGCTGCCCTAGGGAAGAGGACCTGACTGTGCTTTGGGGGTCGCCTTGAGCTGAGAGGTTAATTGACATGACTGAGTCCTCAACAGCAGGCTGGGTTTCTCCTGTGGGCATTTGCTAAGGTCTTGGAGGGCAAAAGTGGCAGGATGCCAAGTCCTCAAGTGCCCTCCAATCCTGTGATTCTGCACTGACCAACTCTGTGTGTGTCAGGGACATGGCCTTGGGCTCCTGCATGTCTGTTCATCTTCCCAGTTCAGTTTTGCCTCCTGGTCAACCTCCTGTCCATCTTGTCCACAAGGTCCCTCCTGAGTGACCATTCTCTCTGGACTCACCCCAGGTCTATCTTGTGGGAAAGGTCACCTGGTAGGAACTCTACCTGCCCCACTAGGTGGACTAGGATTGTGTGATGTGAGAGAAGCACATTTAGACAGGAGCTTCACTGACCCTTGAGTCACTGGGCCACTGGAGAGTGCAGGACACACCACATTTCCATGAGGCTTGCAGTGGGCAAGGACAATTTTGAGGGCCACGCAGGATCTGTGACATTTGGGATTCTCTCTGAGAAAGAAAAGATATTCCATCTAGCTTTCTAGGTAAAGCCTAACCTCAGCAGTGTGCCCACCCCAGCCAACAAGGACCTTGATTGTGTGCTGAACAAGACTTGGCCTTACCATGTCCCATTCGCCTTCGCATTCAGTGCCATGGTCCTAAGAGTAATAATATTTTTCTCCACTTGAGCAAGGATTGGCTTACAGATTCTTACACCTACCCAGTTTTTGGAATGTGGCTTCTATTTTTAAGTTCTGTAATTCTTTCACACTTGGCTCATAATTTAAAAATATATCCATGGGATTCATAGCACTCCCTTGTTATCTGAGAACCCATGACTGAATCTGGTCAAAGGTATCGACATAAGGCCTCCTTGGGTGTGTGGTATAAAATGTTGAGCCTGACCCTGAGCTGGTGAGAAATTTGGGCAAGGGATAAACGAAGTGCAAAAAAGGGTGAGGGAGAGGAGGTCATCACAACCCTGCTAAGTCCAGCCACGTGCAGACAAGGTTTACACCAAAATAAATGCTAAAGAAAACACATACCTTTGTGTTGCCACAAACCACCTGATTCTGAGCCTGGTCCTGGTGACGGCACCTGATGGGAGGGAGCCCCAGCCTGAGTGGTCATTCAGCTCACCTTCCATCATGCTGGGCTGACCAGAGGCTCCCAAAGACCCTTCACCCTCCCTCCTGCTCCTTCCCTGCCTCTCTGATGAGGTCTTAAAAAGATTTTGAGCTCTAAGCTAAGTACATGGTCCAGGGTCCTTGACTATTCTCTGTGCCCCTGAGATTCTAGGATCTTTCTCTTCAATAGACAAAGAATCTGCAGTGCCTCTCCCCTGACAAGCAACACATGTGGAGCTGGGCCACCCATCAGGTAAGTTTGTGGGGTTTATACCTTAATTTTTATAGTTAATTTCATAGCTTGCACACACCAATAACAACAGCCTTCTCAGCATCCACTGTCCTGAGTTGTAATATGAAATCTGTCCCTGATCCTCTGCCACTGAAGTTGCCTGAGACCCAAAGACAAATGAAAGCCCAAAGGTTTAGAAACCACACAGACTTTCCTGCCTTCTGCAAGAATCATTGTATCCCTCTGTCTGTAGAAGGTTCTGGGTAGACCTGCAGGAGGTGGATGGGTGAAGGCAGGAGGGAGGAGCCTGGGTCATCAAAGAAGCACCTGTGGATCCTCAAATGAGAGAGAAATGGAAGGTTATGCCTACCATTATGAGCCATATTCATGATTTCTCTCCCAACCTTATTCTCAGGCTACTGTAGTGTTTGCGTGTGTGCGTGTGTGTGTGTGTGTGTGTGTGTGTCAATGTGTGTGAGTGTGTGTCTGTGTATGTGTGTGTGTGTCTACAAATGTGTGTTTGTTGAGTGTAAGTGTTTGTGTATGTGTGTGAGTGTGTGTGTGAGAGTGTGTGTGTATGTGTGTATGTGTGTATGTGAGTTTATGTGTGTGTCTGTGTGTCTGTATATGTGTGTGAGAGCGTGTGTGTACTTGTTTGTGTGTATGAGTGTGTGTGTGAGTGTGTGTGTGTGTGTGAGTGTGTCTGTGTGTGAGTGTGTGTGTGTGTGTGACTATTTGAGTGTGTGTATGTCTGTGCCTGTGTATCTGTTTGTGTGAGTATGAGTGTGTATCTATGTGTGTGGGGGTGTATCTGTGCCTGTGTGTGTGTGTCTGTGTGTGTGTACACCAGCAGTGGTGACCACAAACCTAAGGGTTTCACCCCCAGCAGGCCTGCTCTCCCTGGAGCCCACCTGCTCT